TCAAAACGATCAATTTGTGGCATCTTAAACCGATCTGGCAGCGTCACAGCTGCATCGGTGTATCCATCTCCAATGTCCGGAATGGACTTCACACCTTGAGATTTCTTGAACAGCTTTTCAAGCTTGCTCATTTTTAATGCCATGGGGTCCACCTTGGACTCGAAAGGAGAATCCGGTTGATTGATAGGAGTGGGTGCCTTGGATAGTTGAGGCAGAATCGGAGGTGGAGCCGGCCCCGTTGGGATGTCTGTATCTTCTTGGACATTCCGGGTATTCGGTGTTTCTTCGGGTATCGGAACCCTTAGTGGGGGAGGGACTTGCTGTGATGCGGATGCTCCAGTTTGCTGCTGCAATCTTACGATTAACTCTGCTTGCTCGTTCATAACTGTGGCCTGTTGTTTGGCGAATTCTGCCTGTCGGACAGCATCCTGCTGCATTACTTTCATGCTTTCTTGGAGTTGGCGCACCATCTCCTCTAAACTAGCCATACTGTTCTGTTCTGGCTAAATTATCGGTATATGCTCCCTTTCTATGGGTGAAACGGAATCCTGATCCCTATTGTACACAGGTGGGGTAGACAAAGCCCTCTGTACTGACTGTTGAACTGATGCCCTCTGCCCAACTGTCCTCCGTCTAGTAACCGGGGGTAGAGAGTGGTGCACTGGTTGTCCGTCTACCAGATCCTCAGATCGATGGAGCCGACGACCTCTAATCCAAAGTGCTTGGGGAATATCTATCGGGTTGGAAGCAATGGTGCTAAACTACCTAGCAAAAAGGTAAATAAAGCAGCAAATAAACAAACAATCGGACAGCACAACGGCGCAAAATAAACACATACAACACATAGCTAGGTATTTATAATACACAGTTGATAAGCCGAATACGCTGTCCCTTGATACTAATCACTGTTCCCCAGAATCACTGTTCCCAAAATTGAACCTGATACCCGCAGATAACTGATTCTCATAAACTGATACTGATGCCCTCGGGCCTGTTACTCAAACTTGCAAACTGATATGTACGTTCCTATAGAGATACACTCTAAAAGCACATAGCAAGTAAAGAGAGCCAAAGCACCCCTATGTTGGGGTAGGGTTTCCCTGTCCTATTTTGTCAGGAGCTAGGGTTCCACTATGCACGCAGTAGTTTTCAAACAACCTAACATCGGGTAAGCAGCCTGTCCTAATTTGGAATGGTCACTATGGATCCGAATATGCACTAGGTCGAATGGTCGAAAAGGGTGCTCCGATAAAAACCGGGGTTTGTGTTCCCATGCTGTCAGAGCCCATAACCGGTCAGCCTTATGGTCATGCCTTGACAAGACAAGCCTCCAGCAAACTGTTCAGGAATGGCAGATGGCAAACACGGTGTCCTAGGCGCACCAATGCACATGCAATGCAAAGAGACACATAAGTGAAATCCAAACAGGATATCGCGAGTTCGAGTCAAGCTCTCCAAATCCCCAGCAGAGTCGCCAGAAACTGTAGACGCGCCAGCGTGGGCCCCTTGCTACAGCTCGGACTCGATTTGTGTCGCAGTTCTTAATCTGAACCAAAGAGTCCAAATCCGGCAAATCGTTTTGAGAAAACAGATTTTTAGAAAAGAAGTGCCAAACATGGACTGCTTTGCCAGATACAGAGTCGCCACCTAAATATTTTAAAACGGGGGAATTTAGGAAACCCTGACTCGGTGCCAAAGGCCACGTGTCTGTCATCACCAGAGTTGCCTCGGCTTGGGAGCTTGGGTACGATTGGGGAAGGTCAACTATGAACACCCCCTCTCGCCCGGTCCGAAGATCGGCCTCTACTAACCGTGATATCCGATTTTGAAAACGTTATGTGTTCTTATCCCGATTATTAGCCTAGAATTACTACGTTATGCGCACGACAAACAAGTATAGACTAGATTGCCTAATTTGGAAATAATAATTGCATATCGTTTTGTCTTGAAAAACACTTTGGAATTTGCTACTCGCAAGTAGGCTAAAATACGAATTTCAACGAGTGTTTCCAACTCAGGCAATCCAACCTTCACCCACAAGCATTCAAACAGTTTATCACATAAGCATCTAGCCACATGGTAAACATGCTGTTATGATAGCATTCACACGCATGCGATATGCTAAAGCGTAAATGCTTACCGAGTACTCCGAGCCAAAACAATAAACTAGTTAGCCAACATGCATGGTCCTAGTTCATGTCAAATTGACTAATGCAACACGTGCAGGATGCAATTAGAATAGGCCCGACGAACCTATACATGGCATGTGAAAATGCAATCAATTGATGCACGTATTCAATTTGGAATTGAAATACAAATGCAGTTAGCATGATGTACCGAGCCCAGTGCGTGCAAGACAAATGTATGGATGCACGCATGCGTTCAGGATATCTTTTAGCCATGTCATCTTTCCTCTCCCAAGTGATAGGAAATCGAAATGGGTAAAGGTGTGTGGAATAAGGGTTTAGGTAGTGTGTGCACAAGGATATGAGTTAGGGTATAATTGGAACATTAAGGCCTCGTTTGGCAAGTTAACTTTTTAGCCAAAAAGTCAAAAAGTTACTAAAAAGGCCAAAAAGCCTATAACTCATACCAAAAAGTCAAAAATTTCATTTTCTCTCTACTTTTTGCACTACCAATATGTTTCTAATACCCTTTCCCCTGGTTGCCAATCCCTTCCCATTGCTTGTCTTACCATTCCCTCTCACTCTCACCAAAGCCAATGCTATTGTCTTAAGCAAATGCTTGAAATGCGGCACACCCTCATCCTCCAAGGTAAAAGACACATATTTACACATCTCTCTCAGCCACCTATCTATGTCATCATCACGCTCTCTATAAACACTACTTCCTTCAATTCTATGGATATTAGAAACTCCTTGAGAGTTATCATTCACCTGGCCCACCATATTAATATCAAAGCACCACGTTGAAAGTCACTAAATGGTTCACTTTCTGTTGGTAGTCGAAACGCTAATCCCTCATTAAAATCCACTCTCCCATGTTGTGGACTAGAACAACAAATAACAAAACTGACAACAAACATAGCAGGAACCTGAAACCCATCCCCATAATTATAAAATTTTGAAAAACAGTTTGCATGCCTCAAAATTGAAGAACCATTAATTGTTCTTGGTACCTTGCTCAAAGGAATTCACTACCTTCTTAGAATAAACTAAATCCAATGCCTTCTCGCAGACTTTGTCCTCTGTGAATCCCTCATAAGCTAATGAGATCGAATCCTCGACTTGAAACAGAACATTAAGGTCATGCTCAAAATCCTCAACCTCCTCTTTAATCCTTTATGAGGAGGAGAAGTAACAACAATGGATGCAAAATAATTCCAAAATGACCTCTCTAGTGCACCTTTATTTTTAAGTTTCTTCTTTTCTCCCATCTTTAATCCTTGCTTAAGGGTTCCAACCCAAATTTGGTACTCTAACTTGTCTCAATGTTCTTCCACTAAATCCATCAAATTTTATAGTTAGATGGTTCTTTTTTTACCTTCTTGGGTGGATTCTAATTGCAATTTTTTTATAATGAACCACCTATGTAAATAAATCTTAAGAATAACATGGTTCCACAATGTAGCCATAATTCAATTTACAGCTTCAAAACCATAATGATGTTGTGCTTTAACCTATGAAACAAGGACATGTGATGTTAGATATTGGATACCCAACAATGTGAGCCAATTTGCTTCAATGGGTTGTTAGAAAACTCACATCTCTTGTACTAACTACTTTAAGAGGCCATGCTTGATTGGAGATTTGGTAAAGGGGATTGGATTAGTAATCCGTGCACCCCACCTCGATTATGTTTGTTTGTAGAAAAATGGCATGAGATTAGCAATACCCCCAATGGTAGCATTCCCATGGGGGGTTGGGATTGCTAATCCAATCCTATGAGTTGGAAAAATTCTATTTCCACATACCTACTTACCTCAGTACACACACTCAATGAAACATTATTCTAATGACAATTATACCATAAAATAAAATGACTATAATGGATATCAAAACACACTCTTAATATTGTATTCAAATTTTTCTCTATACACATCTTTTTTAAACAAAAAAATAGAAAAATCTCATTGCACATTTTTTAAGTAAAAAAATAAAAATAAAAATAAAATTAAACCCTAATTTATTCATTATTTCTCACTTGCTCACAAAAACAATACTCTCAAAACTCAAAACTCAATACTCACTTGCTATAGCTGCTATTTACAAGGGCGTGAATTATGGGTCTAATGGCAATGTACCTAAGAACAATTTCAAGAACCATGGTGATGGTGGTAATGCTGCCATTGATGAGTTCATGAATTACAAAGAGAAATTGAATGTTGGTGACGATTCATTTCAATTGTACGTGAAGAATTCGAATTCAGGGACTGTGAAATTTAAGAGCTACGGACAATTGCTCAATGAAGGCACAGACAAGTTCAATGGGTATGGAAAAGGCGGGTCGGGTCAAGAAATTGGGTTCGAAACTTACGGAGTCAACAATACATTCACAAATTATGATAAGAAAAAGGGTGTCTTGTTTGCTAGATATCTCAATGAGAGCTTTGCTAGATCTTCAATGGCGAGCAGTGCCAAATTCATAAATAGATGGGTGGAGCTGGGTAAATTTTTCAGGTGTGTGGAATAGGAAATCGAAATGGGTAAAGGTGTGTGGAATAAGGGTTTAGGTAGTGTGTGCACAAGGATATGAGTTAGGGTATAATTGGAACATTAAGGCCTCGTTTGGCAAGTTAACTTTTTAGCCAAAAAGTCAAAAAGTTACTAAAAAAGCCAAAAAGCCTATAACTCATACCAAAAAGTCAAAAATTTCATTTTCTCTCTACTTTTTGCATATCTTTTCGTAAAAAACCAAAAAGTCACCCCAAGCATACTAGTTTTTTTTACCTCATATTTTAGCAAAAAAGTAAAAAAGTTACTAAAATAGCCTGTTCCCAAACGAGGCCTAAGTGTATGGAATGAGAATAATAATTAATAGCCAAATTAATAAGTGTGTGCACTAAGAAATGATGTGCACTGAGATAAGTAAGAGTGTGAAAATATAATTTCTCCATGAAATGGTGGTTAAAAGACAACTTTGCAGCCCACTTTACAAAACCAACCAACTTTTTTTTTTTGATAAATAAAAACCAACCAACTTATTGCGTATGAGAGAAGGGTTTTTACTTAATTTTGTAGATTTAATCTCAACTAATACCACCACACTAGTAGTATAGAAACAAACTAGGGCTATTCAAAGACTTGCCTAACTCAAACGAACCAATCCGAATTGACACTATCAGAGATGGTCGGCTTCGTGAAACCTAGCAGTTGGCCATGATTTACAAAATTTTAAAAAAATTCAACCAATGGCAGGTCAAGGATTTTGGAGGAAAAATTACATATAAACCAAACCAACATATAAGGAAGTAAAACATCTAATTATTTTATTGGCAGAGAAAATTACATCTTATAACATTTACACATGGCTTTGTTCGGTTGGTGGACTAGACTAGTTTTTATCAACATTCAATATCAATTTTTCTCTCTACCTTATCACTTTAAAAACTGGCTTTTCAGAGACCACTCTCTATCTTATCACCACTTTTTCTCTCTCCTCATAACTCTCTATCTCAATTTACGAAACAGATTTCTCTTATCACCACTCTCTCTCATGTTTCTCCATTTCTCTCTCTATTTCAAACTAAAGATTTTTCTCTCATAATTCTATCTCAATTTACGGGACAGATTTCTCTCTAACTTATCACCACACTCTCTCATCATAACTCTCTCTCTCTCTCTCTCTC